ATGCCATGGGACACAGAATGCAGTATCATTTCATTCTCTTTCAGATGAAGCAAGGGATCTACTATGTCTCTAACTTTGCAACTAACCTGAATTATTGGGTGCTGTCCTGGGTCAGACAACACCAAAGGCACAAATGGTTCAGTGGCTGGTTCACTAAAGTGAGGCTTTTCCATGTCCTTGTCATCAAACCCTAAAAACAGTAATCATGCTTTAATGTGACATTTTGAAAGGTAGCTGTGCATTGGCATTGAGGCAAGAGGACCATCAAACATGCATTTTGATAGATACCTATGAATATGGTATGTACATATATAGGTGCGAAAGAAGGATTCTATCATTGGACTTTCAAAGGTTTTCTTGCTATGATCCAAAGGCACACAGAAACTTTTCAAAATAGCGCAGGGAACTGTGAATAAGACTATTCTAGATTCTTAGTAGTCTATCAAAATATCGAGAGTGGGTTATTGGAACAAATTACAGGACAGCTAATAGCATTAACAAGTAGCTTGTGAGATACGTAGCCAGTGAGATTACTGTCACGTAGGACAACTATTCACACTGGGGTACACTGTACATTAATTTTATCAGTCACCATTAAGCCTTGTTTGCAAACTTAATATATAATGATAATGATAATACAGAAATAGATTAGAAGATGAAAACACTGACATTTTAATTTGGTTTGTCTGCTTGACTACTGTAATAATACTGTAATTATTCAATTAACTATTACTTATCAAAAACTTTCGAATTTCCTTAAATATGAATGACTCACCATCAATGTCATCCCAACAAAATTCTGCTTTGTCATCATCATCATCGTAATCATCGATAACATCATCATCATCATTGGTTTTCAAGAGAGGCTTCTTTCGATGTCTTCCACGTTTATTTGAAGCTATGTTGTCTGGAGAGTTGAGCTTTTCTTGTTTTTGTTGGTTATGTGCCTGGCTTTTCCTGGTTTCTTTGGCTTTATGTGTTGTAATTTTTAAAATACCTGGAAGGAAGCATCCTTAATTACTGAACAAGACTGTAATGTACAATCAAAAGAAAACTTGTGGGAAGACTGATATTTGAAGTAATCAAACTCTGGCTGTAGCCCACTGGTTTTCCCAATCAAAGCAAATTTTCTCTCTGTGCATGGTTAGCTTGCTAGAGTGACAATCTTCAAAGGACATGCACATGAACTTAAATAATTTAGCAAATTTGCAAATGAATACAGCTTTAATAATAATAATAATAATAATAATAATCATAATAATCATCATCAAATGTCACTCAAACACATTATGTATATTAAAATATGGCTGTCAATGTACCTTTCTTTTTCTTTTCTTTGTTTTTCATATTTTCTTCCAACTTCTTTTCATTATTTTTCATTTTTTCACGTGTAGTTAATAGATTGTCATAGTCTTCATCAGTATCATATTCAAACTTAGACCTGTAACGCACATTTAATAGTCACATTTAAAGCTCTGATATATCATTATACACCTACTGTAATTGAAAACATTGCCAAGTTTAAATGATGAATTCATCCAAGCCAAGACCATTTGCCTTCGTGAACATTGTACCATGATTGTCATTGATGAATTCCGGTTTTACCTTCTATGATTTTACCTTTTTGAACCTGACAAGGTGTTTTTTTTACTAAAGTGTCTCTTTAATTAAAATCCATTAATAATTTTATAAGAAAATCTGACCTTAATTCCTGGTCCATCTCATTTCCCTGTAAATGGCTAAACCAACTTTGCTCACTGGGACTACTGGGTCTACAAGTTGCTGCACTGGGTTGTAATTCTTTCTGTGCGATTCTTCTGAGATCTTGTAATCCAACGACTTCATCACCTTCTGATTCAAAACTACATACATCCATGCAAACAAAAAAACATGTTTTGCAAAATATTCTATGTGGTGTGAAGCGAACACACCATCCATTGCTTGAAGTCTGAGATAGGGTATCATTTCTTGCCCATTTGTCTGGGATAGGGTAGTCTTTTTGTCTGGGATAGGGTAGTAGTTTTGTCTGGGATAGGGTAGTTTTTTGTCTAGGATAGGGTATAGTATCATTGTCTGGGGTAGGGTGGAGTTTTGCCTGTGATCGTATCTGCTAGGCCACGCTTTCAGCGCTAAAAAAATATACTTTTGTACCTTTAGTCTGGGATAGGGTAAGGAGGGTAAATGGTTTTGAGGGTCGTGTGCCACAAGTTGGGGATGGAGTACCCCCAAGTTGGCAGTGGGATTTTTTTCAAGCCATTAGAGAGCTTAAGCATGACGTCCACGGCAAACGCCAAATGACAGAAGAGATTGTGTGACCCGTGTATGACCACCGTTTTGGGGGTTTACCGTAAATGTTTCAACATGAGAGTTGGTTATTTTGGGGTTGCCATAATCGTGAAAAATCGCTCTTTCAAATGACTACCAAAAGCACAAGGTCTGGCACGAAATTCTTAGGTCATTGGTTTAGCTCTGCCGTTAGCTGTTTGCCATAAACATTTTKCYTAAACTCTCTATTGTTTCCTGTTCAAAGCTAGTGTGGGAGAGATCTATGTATTCAAGTCATCTGAAAATATATTATTTATTGCCTTGCAATACTTACCCAGTGAATGCAACTACCACTTCTACACCTCCATCACTATGCTTGACAACATCTTGAATGACAGCTCGATAGAAGCAGCTGTCATGGTAACGTGCCATACATTTTACTCCAGTTTTRATCCATTCTGGAGAATATTTATTGACATTACATGTATGTCAGAGTTGGAAAACTTAGACAAAAGCTCATCTAATCTGATATCAATCCAAAGGGTGGTAAGTTTTCTTTCTCAATTTTTTGTTCGTCCAATTTMCAAAACCATCCAATTGACTTACTCCTCTCGCAGCTGTCATGTGCCTCATAACGGCAGCATGAGGAGACAGTGATCTAAAATTTCTTCCAAAGCTAAATTTTCTTCTAATATGAATTCATTATTCATATTATTTCATTCATTTATTCTTCTGTATTCATGATGTTGTTCTTATTATTTTCTTTGAATAATAGTAATAATCAATAATTAATAATTATTATTAAGTTATTAATACATTTACCTGGAACAACATTKGTTTCTTTGGACGTTTCCATGGCAGCTTTTGCTTCTTGTTCCATATTACCTCTAGTTGTATGCACWCTACATTAGTTACAGGTTAGACTGATAAATATCTTTTAGGCACAAATCTTAGTTCTTTCTAAACGCTTAAGTTAGCAATATAAGTTTTAATATGATCTTGCATGCATAATTTCGCCGTATGATGCTACCAATTTGCAAARCRTTCTCAGTTATTAAMAAAAWTYYWAAWKAT